ATGCACACGCTACACCCCCCCCATTCCCCCTCTTTTGGCACGCTATGAAACAGTGGGCCCGGTAGGCCTGTTTTTTGCCCAACCCAGGCTACAGAGGCTTTCTAGGAGCCTGGGGAGAGCAAAAACTGCCTTCTCCACCCTACTGGAGGCCCTCTGGAGGCTGGAAATGGCCCATTTCCCGTCTTCCAGTCCCACCATGTGCGCTGGAACTGAACTAGGGCAACGCTTGTGTGCCCACCGATATGGCTCCATGTGCCCCCTGTGGTACACGTGCCATAGGTTCACCATCACGGCCCTATACCATTTCAGAAAAATGGTTGTCCCTCTTCTTGGTGGCAACCCCTGAGATATTGGAACACTGCTGTCATGTCACCCCTAGCCTTCTTTTCATTAAACTAGACATACCCAATTCTAGCGACCATTCTTTATGTTCTAGCCCAGTGGTGAAATCTATTTTTTTTCCTACTAGTTCTGTGGGCATGGCTTGGTGGGCGTGGCTTGGTAGGGTCATGTGACTGGGGGATCAAAAGACAGAAACTCACTAACACTATCCTGCTGGAGCAGGGTTAGACTAGATGACTCCAGGTCCCTTCCAGCCCTGGATTATCCTCTGAAGCTGTGTCTAGTGCCAGGTTTGTAGTCCTTCTTTCCTTTACTTTTTCCTTCCCTCCCTCCCTCCCTCCCTCCCACCCACCCACCCACCCCCTTCCTTCCTTCCTTCCTTCCTTCCTTCCTTCCTTCCTTCCTTCCTTCCTTCCTTCCTTCCTTTCTTTCTTTCTTTCTTTCTTTCTTTCTTTCTCTCCCTGTCTCCCTCTCTCCCTCTCTCTCTCTCTCTTTCTTTCAAAAACAGACCCCCACCACCCACCCATTTTTGGCCTACACCAGGCATGAAATCTACTTATCTTCCCTGCCAATTCGACATGCACAAAGAGTTAAAAACAATGTCACGACAAGTGAGTGGAGCCTCCCCGCAGCCAGCGTTGCCAGTTCAGCAAACCACATGCCACGGGTGCTACATACTCATGTGAACTGGACAGAACTGGGGGAATTTCCCCACTGTTTTAGCCTCCAGTCCCCTAATTATCTTTGTTGCTCTTCTCTGCACTCTTTCTAGAGTCTCAACATCTTTTTTATATCATGGCAACCAAAACTGGATGCAGTATTCCAAGTGTGGTCCTACTAAGACATTATAAACTAGTACACTCAACACTTCACATGATCCTGATTCTATCTCTCTGTTTATTCAGCCTAGAACTGTGATGGCTTTTTTGGCAGGTGCAGCACACTGCTGGCTCATACTTAAGTGATTGTTCATTAGGATTCCAAGATCCCTTTCACAGTTACTAATCTTATTATTCAGGTAGACATCAATCTTGGTCTCAAATTGATATGGTTTGGGCATCGACAGATTTAAATTTGGGAATTGAGGAAGTTAATATTGACATAAATTCGTGGGCAGACCACAATCCCATTGAAATTAAATGGAAAAGGAGGTGGACCCTAAAAAAATTAATCTTGAATCAAAATGAATTTAAATTAAAGATGGATGATCAAATGAGTTTGTTTTTCCAAAGTAATAAAAAAGAGGATACGAACAATCAGAACCTGTGGGACACGACAACAGCTTTTATGAGGGGTATTGCAATATCATACATAGCCAAAGACAACAAACAAAAAAGACAACAGCAAAAAAAAAAAAAATAGAGGAAGATATTAGCAAACTGGAAAAAAGCTGCAGAAACAACCCATAAAATGGGAATTGAAACAACAAATAAACACAATTAAACACAAATTAAATATAATTGAAAAGGAAAATATGGCACAACAAATTAAAAGCATTAAACATTTTTTTTTTGAGAATGCAAATAAGCCGGGAAGATGGCTGGCTTATAGACTAAGAAAACGGAAAGAAAAGAACCAGATTAGTAAATTACACAATGAAGAAGTTAGAGTTAATTTATCAAAATGAGGCAAAGAGGAAGGTCGCATATGAGTTTTTTAAAAACCTAACGAGGATAAGGAGAAGATAGAAGAAGGTAAGAATCTCAGAGGAAGGTAAAACTTTATTAAATAATGAGATAACAGCATGGGAGATATCTGAGGCAATCAAAAAACAAAAAAGTAAAAAAGCGCCAGGCCCAGATGATAGATAGATAGATAGATAGATAGATAGATAGATAGATAGATAGAGGTGAGCTGAGGATTTTGTGCAATTCCTGCATGATAAAGTCACTCGGATTCGGGAAGGCTTGGGCTCCGACTGGGTGAGTCTGGGGGAGGAGATGAGGGTAGGTCTTGAGAACACTATCTGGGAGGAGTTTGATCCTGTGGCTCCCGAGGATGTGGCCAGGGTTCTGGGTAGGATTAGTGCCGCCACATGTTTATTGGACCCGTGTCCCTCCTGGTTGGTACTGGCCTCCCGGGAGGTTACACGAGGCTGGCTCCAGGGGATTATAAGTGCTTCTCTGAGTGAGGGTGCCTTTCCCGCTGCCTTGAAAGAGGTGGTGGTGAGGCCCCTCCTCAAGAAGCCTTCCCTGGACCTGGCTGAATTAGCCAACTACCGGCCGGTCTCCAACCTTTGTTTTGTGGCGAAGGTTGTTGAGAGTGTGGTGGCACAACAACTGCCCGGGCACCTGGATGAAGCTATCTATCTGGACCCGTACCAGTCGGGCTTCAGGCAGGGGTACAGCACTGAAATGGCATTGGTCGCGTTGGTGGATGATCTCTGGAGGGCTCAGGACAGGGGTTGCTCCTCTGTCCTGGTCCTGTTAGATCTCTCAGCAGCTTTTGATACCATCAACCATGGTATCATGCTGCAGCAGTTGAGGGGGTTAGGAATAGGGGGCACCATTTTGCGGTGGTTCTCCTCCTTCCTTTCTGACCGCTTGCAGTTCGTGTTGACAGGGGGGCAGAGGTCGACTTCAAGGCGCATTGCATGGGGAGTGCCACAGGGGTTGGTCCTCTCGCCCCTTCTGTTCAACATTTATGTGAAGCCGCTGGGTGAGATCATCCATGGTTTTGGGGTGAGAGTCCATCTGTATGCTGATGATACTCAGCTGTACATCTCCATCCCGGACCACCCCAACGATGCCCTTGATGTGATGTCCCACTGCCTGGAGGCCGTGCGGGTCTGGATGGGGAGAAATAGGCTCAGACTCAACCCCTCCAAGACTGAGTGGCTTGGTTCCTGGTGTCGCGATATAGTCAGCTGGTGCCATCGCTGACTATTGGGGGTGAGTCTTTAGCCCACACAGAGAGGGCTCGCAATCTGGGTGTCCTCCTGGATGCACGGCTGTCTTTAGAAGAACACATGACGGCCGTGGCCAGGGGGGCTTTTTATCAGGTTCGCCTGATCTGCCAGTTGAAGCCCTTTCTTGATCGCGATGCCTTGCGCACAGTCACTCACACCCTTGTCACCTCCCGACTGGACTACTGCAATGCTCTCTACATGGGGCTCCCCTTGAAAAGCACCCAGAGGGTCCAACTGGTCCAGAATGGGGCCACATGGGTGGTTATGGGTGCAACTCGTTGTGCCCATGTGACACCCCTCCTGTGTGAGCTGCACTAGCTCCCAGTGGTCTTCCAGGTGCGATTCAAGGTGTTGGTCACCACCTTTAAAGCACTCCATGGCATTGGACCTGGATACCTTCGAGACCGTTTTCTGCCACCAGTAGCCTCCCACCGGCCAGTCTGCTCCCACAGAGAGGGTCTCCTCAGGATGCCATCGGCCAAATTATGTCGGCTGGTGACACCCAGGGGGAGGGCCTTCTCTGTGGGAGCCCCTGCCCTTTGGAATGAGCTGCCCCCAGAAATTCGTAAAATCTCTGATCTCCATGTATTTCGCTGTGCCCTCAAAACCTTGTTGTTCCACCAGGCTGGGCTATCAAGGTAAAGATTTTAATTGGGTTTTATAAAATGGGATTTTAAATTTGGGGTTTTAAATTGAGCCTATCATTTAATAATTTTAATTATTTTTAAATTTTCTTTGTCTTTGTGCTTTTAATCAGGCTATACACCGCCCTGAGTCCTTCGGGAGAAGGGCGGTATAGAAATAAAATAAATAAATATATATATATATAAATAAATAAATTATAGATATTACATCTTAAGAGAAATCATACGGGTTTCTCCTCTAAAATATTTTCAATAGCTTGCTGAAGAAATCATTGGTGAATATCTCTTTTCCCTAGAGAAAACTGAGGAAATCATCTATGTAATTTTTATTCCTGATACATGTGGTAGAGACATTGGAAAGTCTATTTGGGCCTGGAATCAGCAGCTATGATATCTAAGCAAGCAAAACTTTATATAATCAGAGAACCAAAGTGTTATTGTAAGATTTTGAATAGGCTGAACATTTAAAGGACTAGGATAGCAATCAACCAGGCTCAGAATCCTCCAGAGATTCCTATGGAAACTTCTATACTTTTGACTGAGCAGTGCTTTCAAAGTATCCCATGTGTCAGAGTAATTTCTGAAAAGTTTAACCCAAATATCATTTACATTTGATTTTTAAGTGTTTTGTGTTATCTGTAGTTGTACACGTGCATCTTACACTGAATGACCTGGAATGCCAGCATTCTCATGAATATTAGCTTGTATGTGACAATATCTGAATGGATGAACCAATGAATATTAATAATCATCTAAATGATTTTTTTGTTCTCAGTTTCTAGACTTGAAAACTAGAAATGCCCCTCTATGCACTTAGAAAATTCATCTGCTATTCACATGAGAATGATCATTTCCCCCTACAGAACTCTGAGATATTCATTATCTCAAATTTTGTAAAATTGTGTCCAACTCTAAGTTAAACAAAAAGAGTGTGAAGCACTTGCAGTACTCGAGGTAATACTAGGTAATTTCTAAGTAATTTCCACCTAGTCACATGGAAATTATACATTTGTCATGTTATTAATCTCAGTTTGGTCAACTTTTTCTAATTAGTATTTAACCCCAGTTTGATACAGTAAAGGAGTATAATAATTACCAATTACCAATTGCTATTATAGAGCTTTAATATACAGATCAACATGTTAAACTGTTATCTTTTTCCAGATTATACATTCAATCAAAATATTTGTATCTCAGCAAGATTGCTTGCACACCTTCCAGCCACCATGTTTCAATATCTTCTTCAGAACTCTTCAGACTCTTCAGACTTTTCCTGATATTTTATCCCATACCATGTTGTTCGGAAGGCCTACAGATGTTTATTTAAAAGAAACAAGGATTGCAGATTAAGAAATGAGAGAGAACCATAAATCAGCAGCAAATCAATTTTGAAAATACTGGTATTAATAGACAAAGTTCTATAAAAGCCTACATCAGTATATTGTTCTAGAGTTATTAACTTATTTGTATATTTTTTTCATTTGTTATATATTTTATTAATTCAGGTACCCTCATCCCCAAAAGCAGCATTTGTTCAGAATTTGTTCTGATCTCCAAGAGAATTACCATTACTATGGGAAATAGTGCAGCTGACTGAAAAAAAAGTTCATGGTAGAAGGATAAAGGAAGGGAAGGAGAGAAACCATTCATTGATCGATTATATTAAAAGAACTCTGTGGGAAAACACACAGGGCAACTAAAGAAGGGAGTGTGAGAAAAAGTCTTAATGGTCAAGATGGACAAATCTCATCCTAATACTTCAAAGTGATTTCAAACGATAAAAAATAATACTCAACAGGAATATAAGAAAGAATCAACCAATAGGCCAATACAGGTTTTTTTTTTTTTAATTAGAGATGTTCTCTGATGGGTTGGGGTAAAAGAAAGGAAAATGATACCAAAAGCATCATATTATTATGACATCAGCTGTTCCCCTATTGTACAGGAATCATGACACTGGTGGCATTCACATTGCTCTGTTGTCATGTTTACTTTGTCACTTTGATGAAATCATCAGATTCTGAAGACACTTCTGCTCTCTAATAGTGTCTAAGCGGGAAATAAAAAATATTCTAAAAAGGAGAACAAACTCTTAGAAAAAATATGAAGAGAAGAATAAGAGTTATTGTTAATTAATTCATTGTTTAGAATCAAAAAGGGAATCCACCTGGAGCCATTATGTTCCCACAAGTCGCCTAACTCCAACCATTCTTAAATTCTGTTAATCCTTATCTAGCACCAAAATAGCACTGACCATTAGTTGATTAAATTCCTGCACATAGGCATGAACAATAAATTAGTTTAATTGAAACTTAACATGTGTCCCTGGTGTGACAGATGTAGTTATAAAGTATTGATATAGGTATTGGTATAATTATAAGGCTGTCCAGCTAGAGACCGATTCTGGGTGGTTTACATTACTGAGAATAAAAAACAATAATAAAGAGACTACATATATGTGGAGATGCTAAGTACAAAACATAAAACCCCAAGGGCTGAAGAGCCCCCTACTCAGGAGTCTGTGAAAATAATTAGGTTCTTAAAGACTTCCTCAACACCATTACATCAGAGAGATATGCATCTTAAGAAAAAGAAAAATCCAAAGTGATTTTAGTAGTGTTTAAATTAAAAATGTTTCCTGGCAATTAAAACTATTGCATTTGTACTGCTGCAAGGAAGATCAAAAATTACTTCTTTAAATTTTTCTTTTAATTTTTCATGATTTTTAAAATCTTTCCTAGCTTTATGTTTCCGCGGTTTTTAATCCTGCAAAAAACACTTCTTCAATAAAAAATCGTATTTAAAAGGACACTGCTGCATTTGTTTAGAGCAGAATAAGAGAGTCAGGTATACAGTAAAAAAATTCTAAGTTACATATTTCTGCTGTAAAAAATATGGCATCTAAAATACACTGTTGTTGACTTACCATATGCAGCAATACTGACTTCCCCAACACCAGTATGGCAATATCTCACCTTCTGGACAATCTGAACTACAGTAGCCATTTGGCAGGGGACAATAACTGTAAGTATTTCCAAATTCTGCATTAAAAATGAGGGGAAATACTATTGGCATTTTAGAATCTGTATTTATTTATTATTACTAATTATATTTTATTCTTTTCATAAATTTTACATTTTTTAATTTTATTTAATTTTATTTATTTTATTTAGTTTGTCAAACATGTACGAGATAACAGGTATAAGTATAAATATGGAGATTGCGTGCAAAGAGCATGCACAAAGTGAACCAATGGTAATACCATTAGAACCCACCATTGGCTAAGACACTCATTGGGACCCTATCTCTTTTAGCATTTTTCTTGACACTTCTCCAAAATGCACCCTCAAGAAGCCACATCTCTCCCCCTCTCCCTCTCCCTCTCCCTCACATACACACACACACACACACACACACACACACACAGAGGTTGCATTGGATATCTCTCTCCCACCCTCCCTCCCTCTCTGCTTTAGGCTTAGAAAATTCCCCCGCTGCCTTCCCCAAACACCTCTCCCCATTGCAAATTCGGCGTGCTGTTTGGGTGGGAAATGCCTGGAATGCAATAAAGCCCACCAATTCACCTCCTGCTGGCAGGCTAGCTAATGAGTTGAGAAGAGAGGCGGGGGAGCTGATCGGAGCCCTCCGAAAGAAGGGGGACTCTCCCTTTGCCTGGCTTCCCTCCTCCCGCGGTCTCCTCAGTGCTCGCTCATGTTCCCTCTCCCCACTCTAGCTTGATTGCAGGCGGAGCCACATTGCCTTTTGCAAGCCTGCTGTCGGAGAAGCTGGGTGCTGGTGAGAGCTCACTTTTTGCCTAGCTTTGTCCAGCTGTCAGGGGGACATGGCTTCCTCCCCAGGCCCCTGTCCATTCCCCCCCCGACAGCCAGACAAAGCTAAGCAAAAAGCCAGCCCTCACCAGCACCCAGCTTCACCGACAGCAGGCTTGGAAAGGGCAATGTGAGCTTCTACCTCCGTCAACCTAGGCTGGGGAGGGAGAGAGCGTGAGCAAGTCAGAGACCCTTCCCTCCAGCCTTTGCCCAAGCCCCACACCACACCAGGAGGCTGAAGTTTCATTTCTTCCCCACTCCGACCCACGTGTACCTTGGCATTGGGACTGTTTCTCTCCATCCCCTTTTCCAGCTGCTGGATCAGAGGGAGGAACCTAGCTTTGCTGCCCATTGCAGCTAGGAATCTCAAAGCCCAGAATGAACGTTTGTGCTACAACCAGCCCCTAGATCGGCTTCCTGCAAACTCCATCTTTCAAGGAGCCCAGCCGAACTTTTGCGTGCCACTCGCTGAGGCGGAGGGAGGGGCTGGAGCTAATAGGTAGCCAAACTAAGTGCCCAAAGGACCCCATCCCATCATCAGGAGTCCTGGTGCCTCAGCGAGTGAAACTTTGGCTGGGCTCCTTGGAAGACCATGGAGTTTGCAGGCCGCCTGCCTAGCTAGCACCCAGATTGGCTGAAACAGAAACATTCATTCTCGGCTTTATTTGAGATTCCTAGCTGCGATGGATAGCAAAGCTAGGACTGACCCCGGCCAGCTTTCACATTTAGGGAAATGCTGATTGGGAGGGCTGCGCGGCAAGAGAAAAGGCATTACATATCAGCCTCATCCAAGGCGAGTGGCTGGGAGGGGCAAGGGTCGTGGCCGGGCGTGGTTAGCTACCGGTTCAGGTGAACCGGTGCGAACCGGCTGAATCCCACCACTGCTTTATGGAGCTTTTCCATCAGAAAGTGAAGGCACTTAGAGAAGCTAGAGAATTTAAGAGAGGTTGAAAAGGAAGCACTAGGTGAGTTTGAAGAATTTCAGAATTACCTGAGGGGAAAAATTAGAAGCAGATAAACCTTTCATAGGAGGAGAAAACTGGGGAAATCAGGAGGCAAATTTCAGATTTACTAAAAAAAAAACATGTGTTTTAATAGTAGAGCAACTAAAGTAAATGTAAACTTGTTAGGAGGATCATATAAACCTGTCTTTTATAATAATGCTATGAATTTTCTTAGCAGTTTGCCCTTTTTTAAAAAAACTTTCTTTTTCTTCTAGCATACCTGAGGGATACATAATAAATAACGTAAAATAATATTTTGTGAGTGTATCTTCAGACATACATCTTGAAAGACTTGCAAATTAGTCTTCCCATAGATATAATTATTTAATTAATTAATTAATTAATTAATTAATTTCTATACTGCCCTCCTCCCGAAGGACTCGTGTACAGCCAATTAAAACATTATATATATACATCAATTTAAAAATCAATTAAAAGTAATAAATAATTTTGGCTCAGAATTAAAGCCTAATTAAAACACCCAATTTAAAATCATTCACAAAGATAGCCCAGCCTGGCGGAACAGTAGGGTTTTAAGAGCGCAGCGAAATACACGGAGATAAGAAATCTTACATATTTCCAGGGGCAGTTCGTTCCAAAGGGCAGGAGCACCCACAGAGAAGGCTCTCCCCCTGGGTGTCGCCAGCCAACATAACTTGGCTGATGGCACCCTGAGGAGCCCCTCTCTGTGGGAGCGAACTGGCCGATGGGAGGCTACTGGCAGCAGAAGTCGGTCTCGGAGGTACCCCAGCCCTAAGACATGGAGCACTTTAAAGGTGGTAACCAACACCTTGAATCGCACCCGGAAGACCACTGGGAGCCAGTGCAGCTCGCGCAGGAGAGGTGTTACATGGGCGTAATGGATCGCGTCCAAAACTACCCGCGCGGCCGCATTCTGGACCAGTTGGAGCCTCCAAGTGCTATTCAAGGGGAGCCCCATGTAGAGAGCATTACAGTAGTCCAGCCGGGAGGTGACAATGGCATGAGTGACCGTGCGCAAGGCGTCCCGATCCAGAAAGGGTCGCAACTGGTGGATCAGGCGAACCTGATAAAAAGCCCCCCTGGCCACGGCCGTCATATGCTTTTCTAAAGACAGCCATGAATCCAGGAGGACGCCCAGATTGTGAGCCCTCTCTGTGTGTGGGGGGGAGAGATTCACCCCCAATAGTCAGTGATGGCGCCAGCTGACTATATCAGGGTGCCAGAAGCCACAGCCACTCGGTCTTGGAGGGGTTGAGCCTGAGCCTATATTTCCCCATCCAGACTCGCACGGCCTCCAGGCAGCGGGACATCACATCAAGGCCATTGTTGGGGTGGTCTGGGGTGGAGATGTACAGCTGAGTGTCATCAGCGTACTGATGGACTTTCTCCCCAAAACCACGGATGATCTCACCCAGCGGCTTCACATAAATGTTGAACAGAACTACAAGTTTTCCTACTTTTCAGGAGATATCAATGATTTATTCTAATGGATTTGGCACATCCAATAAATGAGGCCCATTTTGTCATTAAGCAGAAATAAATCTTTGCTCAGAGACCAGCCTCAGAATTAGTCTGAAGATACACTCACAAAATAAAATATTATTTTATCTTATTTATTATCTTTCCAACAGTATCTCTCTCAGATATGATAGGAGAAAAAGAAAAAGGATTTATTTATTTTTTTTAAAAAAGAGCAAACTGCTAAGATAAGGCATGGCATTATTATAGAAGATAGGTAGATATGACCCCCCCTGAGACATTTCTTGTTGGAAAAATAGGGTGGGAACAGCCCTCTTAATTTTTGTAGATTGAAATACCCTTAAAACTTTTTGATTGGTGATCAATACCAAAATTTAAAAAAGTAAAGAATCATTGTGAAAAGCATTTGAAATTAGTCTCAAGTATACTTCTCCTCTAGACTAAGGTGACCAGACGTCCCGCTTTTGGCGGGATAGTCCCGCTTTTGAGCAATTTGTCCCGCGTCCCGCGGCGTTTTAAAAAAGTCCCGATTTTTCATTCTGCCTCCTGAATCCCCGCTGCTGGCTAGAGGGAAAAAACCTGTTTAAACTCTTGCCGCGGGGCTTCAAAGGGCCGCCCTACGTTGATTAGCTCAGCTTCCCCCTCTCAGCTGATTTGCGCAGGGCTCTGCTCTTCCTAAATTGCTCCAGCAGTTTTTTTTTCTCTTTGTGCAAACCAAGCTCAAAACGAAAGTGAAACTGGCTGTTGGCTTTGCTGTTTGCTTGCAACGTTGGAAAATTAGGCAGCAGATTTATTTTCCTTTTCCTCACCAAAAAAGGTAGGTGTAAACAATGGGAAATTATTTAGGGCAAAAGAGGAGAGTTCAAGATTTTAAAACACAAAAGAAAAAAAAGCTCTTTTTAACTAGGGAATTGTAATAATTGAGATACTATTAATTGTATACTGTGTTGAAAGCAGAAATGGTTAAGTTGTGGTTTGGAGGAATATATGGGGGAAATTATTTGGTTTATTATTATTGGTAAGTATAATTAATTGATTTGTAAGAAATTGGATTGCATGGAAATAATTGGAATATTCATGTTCATATTGATTAATATACAAAAAAGATAGTTATATAACTAATTGATTTATATTAAAATGTTGAATTTGTATTAAACAACTGTATTACATAATTACATAATTAACCAATGTGAGGATGGATATAAAAATAGATGACAATGGGAAGGGGTATAAAATAGAATAGAAGGGAAAAATTGAATTTGATTAAGATTAGAGATGAGGATGAAGGGTAATATTGTTTTTTTTAAAAAATAGATGAGGAATAAATATGGCAAAAAGGAAATATAGAAATTGTAAATTTAATTGAAATGACTAAACACTGTTTAAATTTGTGAACCAGCCAAATATTCTGTTCAAAGAAAATACATTGTATGTATGTGTGTTTCTAATTATTGCTATTTATTCATATTTGTTCTCTTTTATTCCTTAAAGTTTAACAATTCATTCTTTATCTTAATATCTTTATATTTGTTTGGGGTTGGCTTTCTTCCCTTTCATCTTTTTTATTGTACAGCAATCTTTCTCCTCAAACCTACCACCTCTCTCTTTTCTTTCCTTCTTACTTTCTCTTTCCCCCACCCTCTTTTTCTCCTCCCTACTTCCTCTTCCTTTCTCCTTCTCCTCCTCTCTTCCTCCCTCTCTTAACCGTCACTCCTACTCT